TAACAAAAAAGATTAAGTACCAAAGAATAAATGCATAAATGTATGGAGGAAAAATAAATGTATAAATATGTGGAGAAAAAAAGAAACATTAAATGTCATTGAGGAGACGGGTATAGTGCACAGGCCCTGTACTCCTAGCACTCAGGAGGCTGAGGCAAAAGGATCATTTGAGTCTGGGAGGGTTCCAGACATGCCTGGGCAACCTAATAAGATGCCTCTTAAAATTAAAAACAAAAAAGTTATTGAGGAATGCTAACTTGGAGAGAAAAAAATGAATATATATTCTGTCCTTGAACTTGGACCTCAAAACAATATCAACTATTTCTAAATCAGTCTATAAACATAATGTGCCATCAACAATATACCCACAGAGTAACCAAGTGTAACTTGTACCTGTGGTCCCAGCACTTGGGAGGATTATTTGAGCCCAAACAAGACGGATCCAGCCTGAGCAACTTAGTGAGATACCATCTCAAGGAAAAAAAAAAAAAATCAGGATATGAGGGGCATGATTAGCTAATTCTAAGTTTTCCTGGAAAATAAGAAAAACTTCTAGAATTCTGAGAAGTAGATAAAAGTCCAATAGTAACCTCAAATTACATGTAGGAATAAAGTACCCCTATAGTCAAGATTTCAAATCAGTAGGAAAAAGTGAGATCATTTAATATAGGATACTGGGATAACTAGGTAGCTACCTGAAAAAAAGATTGGATTCCTATCCCAATACTTAACTTATATTTGTACGGATAATACATCTAACTTAAAAATAAAATTATCTAAGTACCAAGGGAAAACAATAAGAATTTCATTTTAATTTTTAGAAATAATATTGGAATAGGAAAAGATACAAATTGGAATTTGTATCTTTCTTATGATACAAAACTTTAGAAAGTAAAAAACACTGATAAATTTAACTACATTTTGGGGCAGTGTTGTGGTAGAGTGCTTGCCTAGCATGCATGACGCACTGGGTTCGGTCCCAACACTACATAAAAATAAAACAAAGATATTGTGTGCCTCTAAAACTAAAAAATAAATATTAAAAAAATTAACTACATTTTAAAATTTGTGCTGAAAATATACACAAACAAGGTTAAAACACAAATGAAAAACTCGTGTATAATATCTGCAACTCATATTAAAAACTGAGAACTAATTTCCTCAAAACATAAGAATTCCTATAAGCAACAGAAAACATTTCAGTAAAAGAAAAAAAAATGAATAAAAAGCTGGGCATGGTGGCACGCACCTGCAGTACCAGCTATTCAGGAAGCTACAGCAGAAGATCACTTGAGCCCATGAGTTGGAGACAGCCTGGGCAACACAGCAAGACCTCATTTCAATCAAACAATAAGTAAAATTTCCATTTAAAACAAAAAAAGAAATGGATAAGAAAATATAAAGAGACGTTATAAATAAAGGCAAATATGGCTCTTATACTTGTTGAAAATATGGATAAGAAAACTATTAAACTGGTTATTTAAAAAAAAAAGGGGGGGGGGGAAGGTTTAACAACCACTCCATTACCAAGGGAACAAGGAAGCCACCAGCATTCTTAAAACTGACAGTGGAACATAAACTGGCACAACCTCTATGGAGGGCAATTTGATGGTATCTTATCAAAGTACACACTATATTTTGACCCAGCAATTATACTTCTAGGAATTTATCCTAAACATAGACTCAGACTATGTGCAAAATTCTATACATACAGGCACATTCATTGTATCACTGTCTGTCTTAGCAAGACTGTTAACATTTTAAATGCCCATCCAAACAAAGAAATCTTAGTCTTCCTATCTACGCGCGCGGGCACACACACATCCATTCCGGAAAATACACAGGAAATTTATCATTGCTTGTTTCTAGGGAAGGAAGCCAATTAGCTAAGGTCAAATGTAGAAAGAAACTTGCCTCTTACCATATGCTGTTTTGTACCATTTGAATTTTAGACATTACTTATGATTTTGGTATTATTTTTTCACAGCTTTACAAATTGTTATATTTTCTTCCTCTTTGCTAGTATTCCATTTCCTATGTTTGCCATTATGTTTTTAATTGTTTTCTCAACTAATATATTTCATTTAATCAAACCCACACAGTTAAATTATAATAGGAACATGGATTCAATTGGCCCACGATTTTCTTGCTTCTGAGCTTGCTTGCTCTCTGCATACTATTCTACAAAAGCACTGTTCCCTGTTCCTTACTGGGTGCACAGAGATTTCTAATTATCCAGGACTAAGAAGCTATTAATTTCTTAGTCTATGGGGCAAATACATCAACACCACTGTATTTAATATACGAGCAGAAAGGCAAGGAGGTTTCAGCTTCACAAAATATTGTTTGTGCTTTCACAATGGATGCAGAGTCGACACAACTTTACACACTAAAAAACTTGACTTTATCTGCTTGTCCAGAGTTAGTGGGGCTATAGGAACTGAACCAAACTAATAGATCAAATTCACTAGTCCCAATGTCTTATATATAATGCCAATGTACTTAGAATTTTAAAATCTATATGAGTGTGACGTATTTGCATGTATAAAACTGCATTTTTTACATAAATAGCACAAGCACGTGCGTGCGTGCGTGCATGTGTGTGTATGTGTGAAGATATTGATATGCTATTTGAACTGGAAGGCAAAAGCAGAAGCAGGGAGATTGCTTAGAAATCTACTGTGGGAGACCTAAAATGAGGGAATTTGAGTAATGACGCCTGAAATGCAAGGGAGAGGAAAACATTAGCAGGGCTGCCCAAGTTTCAGGTTTGCATAATTGGATGGACAAAGAGGGTATCACTGAAAAGAAGTACACGCCATGAAGACCATGCTATTTTGTTTCATGGAGAGCTGGATATAGGGTAGAGATGCAAAAAGGAAGAGAAAGGATTTCTCCAATGTGTACAAATCTTGGTAAAGAAGGATGAGTAATGTCAAATGGGACTAGAAATTAAAGGAGACAGAAAGTTACCTACAGTGATTTAAAAAAAAAAAAAAAAAAAGCTATACCTCCAGGGTCGGCCATAAAATAAGCCTAGACATTCCTATTCTTCCCCACCACCCAAAATCTTTTGAAATACCTCAAAATAGAATACAAAGAAAAAGTAAGAAGGCTGAAAAATGTAGTACCTTGGAGAATAAGAATTAATATGAAAGAATTTCAAGGTGTATATTGAGATATCAGATATTTCCCCGATTTTGAGAATGAGGGAAAAACGGCCACAGGGAAGGAGAAATGAAGTATCAGTTAGGAAAAAGCAAGCAGAAAGAAGAGACTGATGACCCCACTTTCCTAATTTTCACAGTTTGGACACATTTTATCTTTACCTCTGGACAAATAGCTGTTTTTGGCCTTGTGTGCCAAGAGAATGCAGAAATAGTTCCACACCTAAGGCCTTATCTGAAATCATGGCTTCCACTGCCCTCAGATGGTGGCAGTGGGGAAGTGCACCAATCAGGTTCTAAAAGACCTGATGCCCACATTAAACCCACTGTATAATAATTAATCCATGATCCAAGAAATACAAATTGCAGTGGTAGAGGGCAAGCTGATAATAGTCCTTGCCAAGATATTTATCTTCTACGCTACAACACTCAAAAATTCAGGTTTTGTTATTAATTTGGAATAAGAAAAAAGATTACTTCTTTCTTCTTCTCCATGTTAAAGATTGCATATGTGGCAATTCTGGATGCCCCATCTGATACTAACACTTCCAGCCCAACTCCTGGTATTTTATATATTTGACTATTTACCAATGCCTCAATTTAATTTCAATGGCACAAAGAAATGGAATAATGTACATTTCTAGAACACATCAATAACACTATCATAAACACAGGCAATTATCTTTTGAAATGTGTGAAATTTCCTTTGTTATCTTCAAATTAATCATTAACTACACTGAAATACAAGGCACAGTAACAAACAAATAAAAAACCATCATGTTCTCAAAACTCATCAGCAAAACAAACATATCACTGATATAATAAATTTCAACATGATTCACAAAAAAACATGGTGAATGATTAACAACATCATTCCTAACAGTTCTCTTGGTAAAAATAAGCTTGCCCGATATCACATTTGACAGTCTGTGATCATTCAATTCCATACCTTCTTACTATTATGCGGAATACTCACAAATGGATCTCTTTAAAACTGTCTACACACATGCAATAACTTGATCTGGTTTTGTTTTTTAAGACATTTCAATTCAAAGATAAGGTACTACAGGCCAGAACGCGAAATTATTGTATTGGGTACATTTTTCCAATTCTCAGTTGTTTTTATACCGTAGACAAAGCAAAATTTTGTCACCAAGTATATTCTCGATTTTCGTTTTCCTCCTTTAAAATCTACACACTATTATCCGTTCTATCTTTGGGCATTTCAAAATATTAAGAATTCAACTAGTTTTCCCTAATCCCCTTGGTTCTCTTACCCATACATTCCCTAGACAACAAGCCCCCTCCCGCCCCAACCACACACATACTCTTTTCTTCTGTTTCAGATACCCAACTCTTACACACATGGGTGGTTTTTTGTTTTGTGTGTGAGCGTGTGTGTAACAAAACCGCTCCTTGGAATGCTCTTCCGTCTCTTTCCCTTAATTAACACTCTTTTTTGACATAATATTCCACAGCTAGGCGCCAAAGTCTTTCTTTCACAAGATCAAACTGCGGAAGGGGAAGAGATTGGGAACCGAGTAAGCGAAACATTTGGTAATGTCAACGAGACAGTGATCTCTCTTTGGGAAGGAGACAGAACTCTCCGCAGAAAGCTTCTGACAGGGCAAAAAATACTTTTCTTCGTTGTGCTCCGGTTCCCTCCCTGACCTCAAAGACACCTTTGCTTTTCTTTGATTCCCATTCTCTCTGCTTTGCGTGGGGGCCTCCCTTTCCTTCTCCCAAGGAAAAGAAAGCCGGGGAGAAAAGACAAGGGAGCAGTCACCTTCCCGCCGCACCCGCAAGCTGTCACGACCCAGTCCCACGACTCACCTGGCAGGTGCGGCCGCCCGGAGAGTTGCACGAAGCGGTTGAGCTGGCCAGTCCCCCGACCCCCGCTGCCCCCACTGCCCCCGCCGGCCCCGCTACCTCCGCCGCCACCGCCGACCGCTCCTCCTCCCCTCCGGCGGTTCCTGTCCCATCCCTGGGCGGCCGACATGACCCGCTAACGACTGCCGCAGCCTGGTCCCGGCAGTCCCTGACCCGGCGGCACCAGCGGAGCCTTCTTCCTGGGCTCCTCAAGAGACCGGGGAGACAGGGAAAGGGGGAGCGCCCGGTCTCACCAGGGACCAATGACTAACGACCTTGGTGACAGAGCGCCAATGGGCAGTCGTCTTCTTGGTAGGTGGAGGGAGGCGGAGAGAGACGTGGTAACCATAGCTATGGCTAAAAAAAAAGTGTGGGGAGAGAAAGACAGAAGCAGCCACTTATCAATCGCATCCACCGCGCTGAGCAAGCCCGCGTAGCCTCGACTCCTGCGGGTCAGGCGGGCCAATCGAAGCCCGAATGAACGAGGCCACGCCTGCCGAAAGACTCCCGGAGACCGCTGTACTCCAGACATGTTTAGGACTCGGGGAACTCTTTGCCATAAACATTGCATTCAGAAGCAGGCAATGCACATAATGCACATATTTGTGGGCGACACACTTTGCTGCCAGGTTTACAGATGAAGAGCCCATCCCTTGACTGTTGGCACACACAAAGGGCTCGCTGGGAAAGGGAGGAAAACTCAGGGCGGAGTCGAAGCTTCAATGTAAAAACGAGATATTCCTGGGTTTCATCATTTGTCTTGTCTTTCCGTGGGACTAGCTGAACTAATCCCGATATAAGCCACATCCCAAGCAAACAGCTTTAAACCTTTTAACAAACATGGGAAAATGTTCAGTCTTACCAGTAATGATAGAAGCAATTAAAACCCTGATGAGAAACATGTTCTGGTTTATCACATTGGAAAGGCTTTTTGAAATGACACCCGGCGGTATGTGCCAAGAAAAAGATATCCTCATAGATGACTGATGGCCATGTAAATGTCAATCAACCCCTTCTTGCTCGCAGAAAATGTTAATCGGCTTAGAATGTGTACAATAAGAATTAGAATGTGAAATAAATGACAGGAACAGGTACGGATGACCAAGATCGAAGAAAGATATAGATATGCAGATCAGAAATTCCTATTGTTCCAAAATTGAACAGAAAATTTGGCTTTGAATTTAGGGGGCGCAATTCCAAGTGGGAAAACACAGACCGATGTTTCGAATAAGGAAAAAGCATATAAATTCCTTAAGGCAAACAAAACTTTTTGAGGTTCTTGGATCTGATGGATTTTTCTCCCGTGGTGTTTCACATCAGAGAACCTTACGTGTTGCGGAGAAAAAGGGAGAAACTCTGCCGAAGCTGAGGGCAAATACCCTTAGACCCTGATGTACAAGTTTTAGATCGCCACCTTCAGGCGCCGCGTGGTTATTTTCCTATGTTCAGTTTCTGCAGGAAAGAGAGGTACTGTAGCCATTAAGTTACCATGAACATTTCCCCATAGCACTGCTTAGGAAAATGTTTGAGACCTGAAAGAAATAGACCTATGGCTCTAAGATAGGAAAACCAAAATTAAGAAATTATACCGCTCAATAACCAAGGTGTAGCTGAATAACATTGTTCTTTTTATAGGAATATTCCAAACAGTAAATAAACAAGGGTTGATAGAATACCACCATTTTGCAGCCCCTAATAAATTTAAGAGATCTACCCATTGAGTTTTAACCACTGCTAACCTCACATAATGAGAGGCGAGACATAGCAGGTTGTGGTGGCACACACCTGTGATCCCAGCAGCTCAGGAGGCTGTGGCAGGAGGGTGGGGAGCTCAAAGCTAGCCCTAGCAACTCAGCAAAGCCCTAGGCAACTCAGTGAGACCCTGTCTCTAAATAAAATATTAAAAAGGGCTGGAAATGTGGATCAGTGGTTCAGTGCCTCTGGTTCAATCCCCTTTGCCAAAAAATAAAAAAGAACACAAACATGACTATGAAAATCTTGCAGAAAATAATTTAACCTGAGTCTCATCAGACATCTAGATACAACACCAATTTATAGGAAATACAAAGGAATGTTAAAAGATGCTACAGCAAAGTTTACTACAGAAATTCAACAACATGCAAGTTTCTTCAATAAATAAATTGAAAGAAAAAAAGAAATTTAGAGGAGGAAATCTACAAATTAAATAGACTTCTGATGGGTGTTCCACCTTGTGAATATGCTAAAAATCACTGAATCACAATGGTAAATATATTAAAAACTTTTTAAATATATTAAAAACCACCAAATAATGTACACTTTTAAAAGATGAATTATATGGTATATCAATTATATCTTAAAGAAATTTTAAATAATTCGAGAAAGGTGAAGTGGATGGCAAAATAGATGAAACAAGATTGATTTCACTTTAAATCTTGAATTATGTATGTGAATTACATCTCAGTGAAGTTGTCAAGATCCTATGTTCCTTATCAATCGCATCCACCAAGTTATACATGACCAGTATAACTCTACATCATGTTCAACCACAAAAATGGAATCCTAGTTAGAATAAGTTGTATTCCATGTGTGTATAATATGTCAAAATACATTCTATCATGTATATTTAAAAAGAAGAAATAAAATTAATAAATGAACTTGTCAAAAAAGAGAGACTTAAAAACATAACAACCAAGTGCTGTAGTGGACCTTATAGGAATCCTGATTCACATCAACTGAGGAAAAAGCATTAATGACAATATTGGAAATTCCAACACTAAATTTCTTTCTTGGGTGCTCTACCACTGAACTACATCCCCAGTCTTTTTTTCTCTTTCCCACATTTTTTATTGGTGCATTATAGTTGTACATAGTGACAGGATTTGTTGTTACATATCTGTACATACACACAATACACATTATAACAATATAATTTGGTCAATATCACTCCCTCCCCCAGTTCCTCCTTCCTCCCTACCTCCCTCACCTTGGTCTCATCCCTCTACTTATCTCTTTTTGATTTTCATAAGATCCCCTCTTGTTTCTTTTCCATTTCTCTCTCTAGTTTCTGAATATGAGAGAAAATATATGACCCTTAACCTTCTGAGATTGACTTTTTTTGCTTAACATAATGGTCTCTAGACATATCCATTTTCCTGCAAATGACATAATTTTATTTCTCTTTATTGCTAAGTAAAACTCCATTATGTATATATACTACATCTTCTTTATCCATTTGTCCATTAATGTACATAAGCTGGTTCCATAATTTGGCTATTGTGAATTGTGCTGCTATAAACATGGGTAAGCGTATATCACTATAGTATGATGACTTAATTCTTCAGGATAAATATTGAGAAGTGATATAGCTGGGTCATATGGTGGTTTCATGCCCAGTCATTTGAGGAACTTCCATACAGATTTCCACAGTGGTTGAACTAATTTACAATCTACCAAGAGTTTAAAAGTGTTCCTTTTTCTACACATCCTCTCCAGCATTTATTATTATTTATATTGTTGATGGTTGTCATTCTGACTACTGTGAGATGGAATCTCAGGGTAGTTTTGGTTTGCACTTTCCTAATTGCTAATGATGTCAAACATTATTATTTCATACATTTATTGGCCATTTGTATTTCTTCTTTTGAGAAGTGTCTGTTTCATTCATTTGCCCATTTATTAATTGAGTTATTTGATTTTTTGGGTGTAAAGTTTTTTGACTTTTCTAAGTATTCTAGATATTAACACTCTGCCAGAAGAGTAGCTAGCAAAGTTTTCTTTCATTCTCTGGGTTCTCTCTTCACATTCCTAATTGTTTCCTTTGCTGTGCAGAAACCTTTTAATTTGATGCCATCCCATTTATCAACTGTTGACATTATTTCCTAAGCTTCTGGGGTCCTATTGAGAAACTTGTTGCCTGTGCCTCTATGCTGGAATGTTAACCCTACATTTTCTTCTAGGAGTTGCATAGTTTCTGGTCTAATTCCTAGATCTTTAACCCATTTTCAGTTGATTTTTTTTTTTGTAGGATGAGAGATAAGGGTGTTGTTTCATTCTTCTACATATGAACAACCAGCACCATTTATTAAAAAGGCTGTCCTTTCTCTGATGTATGTTTTTGGGATCCTTTTTTAAAATATTTTTTTAGTTGTAGATAGACACAATATCTTTATTTATTTTGATGTGGTGCTGAGGATCAAACCCAATGCCTCATACATAGGCACTCTACCACAGAGCTATATTTGGGGGATCTTTATGAAGGATCGGATAACTGTAGATGTGTGGGTTTGTCTCTGGGTCTTCTATTCTGTATCATTTGTCTATTGTCTGATTTTATGACAGTACCATGCAGTTTTTATTACTATAGCTCTGTAGCATAATTGGAAGTCAGGTATTATGATGCCTCCAGCATTGCTTTTTTGGCTCAGAATTGCCTTGGCTATTCTGGGTATTTTATTCTTCCAAATGAATTTTAGGACTGCTTTTTCTAGTTCTATGAAAAATTTAATTGGTATTTTGATGGGGATTGCAATGGGATGGCATCAAATTAAAAAGCCTAGCTTTTGGTAGTATTGTCATTTTAACGATAATAATTCTGCCTATCCATGAACATGGGAGGTCTTCCATCTTCTGAGGTCTTCTTCAATTTCTTTCTTCAACATTCTATAGTTTTCATTGTAGAGGTTTTTTGCCTCCTTGGTAGGATTTATTCCTAGGTTTCTCCAATTTCTTTTCTTTCTTAGTAGATTTGTTGTTGGTATATATAGGAAAGCTCTTGATTTTTGTATGCTAATTTTGAACCTGTTACCTTGTCAAATGTATTTATTAGTTCTAGCTATAGGATCCTATCATCTCCAAACAGTGATAATTTGACTTCTTCCTTTCCTATTTTTATCCTTTATATATCCTTCTTTTGCCTAATTGTTCTGGCTAGAATTGTAGCACAGCATTAAATAGAAGTGATGAGAGTAGACAGTCTCATCTTATCCACAAATTTAAAGGAAATGCTTTCAGTTTTTCCCCATTTACTATGAGGTTGTCTTTGGGTTTTTCATATATAGCCTTAATAATGTCAAGGTTTCTTCTATCCCTAGTTTCTTCAATGTTTTTATCATAAATGAGTGCTGATTTTTGTTGAAGGACTTCTCTGCATCTATTGAGATAACTAAGTTATTTTTTTTCCTTAATTCTGTTTATGTGATAAATTATATTCATTAATTTGTGAATGTTAAACCATCCTTGCATCTCTGGAATAAAACTAACTTGGTTGTGGTGTATAATCTTCT